CTAAGCCACCCCTTAATTTCTGACCCACAGAAACTGAGAGATAGTAAATGTGTGTGTTGGTCATACACCGCTTAACTTGGGGCTAATCTCTTGTGCAATCACTCCTATAGCTGTGTGTCTTCCCACATGATTGTATTTAACAGGAAGTTGTCCATGTGGCAGGAAGAAACCTAGGCTCGAGTCAGAAAAAGTGAATGTGGTCCTGTTTCCACCTCAGCAAAGCTACCTAACCCTGGAAGGGGTAACTCAGGGCTCTGGGCCTCCGAGTTCTCATCTTAAGCACCTTTTAAAGGGACAGGGGCAAGTGTTGGCCCAGAAGGTCTCTCCAGTCCCTTCAGCTTTACCAGTTGTAGGACGAAGCTGTGGGAGCCAAGCATAGTGCCTTGGACCAGGCCAGAAGCAGCTCAGGTGACTGCAGCCTGTGTCCACTGGAGGAAAGGAAGCCTGGGCCTCTCCTGAGCTGGCCCCAGGCTCCCCAACCCCTATGTCCAGCCTCCTGAGACCCATCACCTTGGTGCGGAGCTTTCACTGAACTAGTGGAAGCTGTGTAAACTACCAACCTCTTTGGGTGGAAATCCCTGGGAAATGGTTATATGGGCCACAATTCAAGCTGTCTGGAAAAGACTCAAGACCTAATTCACAAGAAGCCATGGAAAAGGACAGCTGGAATTGTTCAGGCCTCCTGGCCAGAGAAATATCTCTACATCAGTGGCTGTCAACCAGGTGCAGTGTGCCTCTCAGGGCACATTTGACAATGCTTTCAGATGTTTTGGGTTGCCGCAACAGGGCAGGTATATAGAGGCCAGGAATCCTACTGGATGTCCTGCAGTTTACAGGATGTTCTACCACAACACAGACTCATCCAGCCTGGAGTATGAACAGTGCCAAGGTTGAGAAACCTGCTCTAAGTGAAGATATTCCAGAGAGCAAAGGACAGAGGTGCTCACAAAACAAGGACCTTCCCCCAGCCCCCACCCAAAGTGAGGGCAAAGAGACTATTTCTTGAGGAAAAGAAATCTGTAAACAGATCGGGGTGAGGCTACACTGAACAGAACATGTTCTCTCTCTTACACACACCACACACTCACGCATGCACACTCATGCACACACCAAAACCTCCACCTCTGGCTCTGGTCTCTGCATTGCTTCCACCATTTCTGGGCAGCTGCTGGTGGCCCTTCTGAGTCAGGGATGGAGACTCTCAAAGCAGGGATCAAACTGAAACTTGGGGCAGAACCACCCAGAGGCAGAGCCTGGTTGTGTGGGCACTGAAATGTATACACATTGTGGGTACACCTTGAAAAACTAGGAACAAGGCCTGGGAGTGGACTCCTGCCAGTGAGGGAGCCCTGCCAGCTGCAGCACAGAGGTGGGAGTGACAAGTGCTGGTGGCGCCGTCCTAGAATGGACAGAAATGGCTGGCCTTGCAATGTCAGGTCGTGGAATTAAGAGGACCTACTGTTGGGTGGGATCTAGACAATCGAGGGCAGAGAGGATTTCCTCTGGCACCTGAAAGTGGCCCTACTTACTGAGAAGGTGCACAACTTTAAGAGAAATGTAAGTTAAGGCAAACGTGAGGCGCCTGTTGTACACCCAGAGATGGCCCAGAAGGAACTGGGTTGCAGGTCTGTCACCCAGGAAAAAGAGACAGCCTTGACTATGGAGCTGGAAGAAGGAAGAGCCCCGGGTACACATCCGCCCTCACATGGGAAGGGGCGGGAAACGGGGTGTGGTTCCCACTATGGCCACAAACTGTCATCCAGGACTGTTGGGTGGTAGGTTATCTTATTGTCTGCCACTTATTGAGCATTTACTATATACCAACTGCTGCTCTATACCTAAATCGTTTATATTAATTTGATAGTTTTGAACATGACAATCCCAGCTTGGTGTCCACCTATATGAAAACCTTTACCTCCTTTGCCATTTTACAAATAAGATTAAATCTGCCCTGGCTGGTGTGGCTCAGTGTTTGAGTGCCGGCCTGCGAATAAGAGAGTCCCCACTTTGATTCCCAGTCAGGGCACAACCCTGGGTTGATGGCCAGGTCCCCAGTATGGGGCGCGTGAGAGGCAACCACACATTGATGTTTCTCTTCCTTTCTCTTTCCTTTCCCCTTTCTAAAAAATAAATAAATAAAGTCTTTTAAAAATAAGATTAAATCTTTTGTGAAAAGAGAACTAAATTTAAATTTAAGTGTTGAAAGTATTTGGTTCAGCCCTGGCTGGGTGCTTAGGTGATTAAAGTGTCATTTCAGTAAGCCAAGCTTACAGCTCAGATCCCTGGTCTGGAACAACAAATTCATTCTCTCTCTCTCTCTCTCTCTCACACAAAAAAAAATCAATAAAGAATAATAGTAATAAAAAGAAAGTAGTGGGCCTAAATTCTGATTCTCCACCTAATAGCTGTGGTCAGCCTCAGTTTTATCCTTCAAAACAAAAATCATAATAATCATTGCCTCACAAACTATTTGTGAGGAGTAAATAGGACAATTTACGTGAAAGGTAACTAATGTGATGGGCTCCCAAATAAGGTTTGTTTTTAAAAAATAATAATACTCTGAGGGAGAATACCAATTCTTTCACTAGCTGAAACGATGTATTATTAAATGTGACCCATGGGACATCGGTTAAAGCCCAGAATTCTCAAACCCCAACCCCTCCCTGGTCAAACCTCCACTCTCCCCTGCCTGCTTCCCCAGGACTGTTGATTCTTCTCTTGTGCAAGGATTTCAGTGGAGCTAGTGGTCTCCTCCTTCTCCACGCACAGCACAGAGCCCTCTGCAGCTAGTACTGCAGGGAACACAAAGCAGGCATTTGCTAAGTGTTGGTTCGAGCTGTGCTCTCAGCCTTAAACACCTTGGGGATTGTACTGTCATTTGACTTGTGTAAATGAAACTATTAATCCCAAAAGTTCAATTTAACTCCAGTGGATTAAAAAAAAACTCCTCTAGATCACGTCTATATTAGGTTGGTTTTATATCAGGAAAATTCTTGTTTTATGGTATTTGGCAGATTTTTAAAAATCTATTAAGATCAAAAACCTAAAGGGTGAAGAATAAGTTGGTGGGGAGAGGGGAAAAGAAAGGTATAGAGATGCTTTGAAAAAATCCAAGGAAACATACTTAGGCCCAGGAAGGCCCAGGTTGCATACTTGTGGAAGTTTTAAAACACTTATATTTGAGTTCTGGGATAAGTAGCAGTTGTAGCAACTGGGATGGGCTTCACGTGTGGCTGGTAGCAATACCCAAAAAGGCCACAAGATGGCAATATTACTCCAGGAGTCTCTCCATTCCCTCGCAGATGCTCCAGCTTTCTTTGTCCACAGGCATCCCTCTCTAGCTGACGTCATTAATGCCATTGTGTCTTTTCTGTCACTTCACGCTCCTGGCCTTACTTTCAGCCACTTTCCCATCACCAGTCCTAGTACAAAAATAAATTCTACTGACTTTATTGCTATTCGTTACATTTTTAAAATAGATTTATGTTTTCTGCTCTCAATTGTAAAAGCAGCTCAAATCAGAAGTCTTGTTTTCATGAGAAATCATTTTTTAAAAAAAGCACCTCACAAGAGGTTGATATTTCCTTTTCTGTAAGTTAATACCCAAAGAGACTTCCCAGGTAAACTGGGTGTCACCAGGCCTGGAGGTGATCAGAGACAGAAGTGCCCACTTGAGACGAAGATAACTCCTTAAACTGGAGAGAGGGGCTGCCACCTCCCTTAAGACAGGAAAGCCTGAGTCCTGGTCCAGAGAGAATGAAGAATGAAAATTCAAATCCCACACTTAAACCTTTTTTTATTATGGAAAATTTAAACAATGCAAAAGTACACAAAAATGGTATTTCAGACTCAGGTTCCATCTTCAAGTGTGTCTGAGACTAAACCACGGAATAGGCTGTGAGGAGGGTGAGCGTTCCGTTTGCGGAGGACACAGAACAGCTCCTGGCTCCATGTTTGCCCTGTTCTGGCCCCTCCTACTGTAAAGCCTTCACAAGAGAAGGGGGTTGGGAGCGAGGGTCTCCCAGGGAAAGCGGAGCTGGGTGGACACGTTTCAGCACCACCAGGGATTTGAATCCTGGCTTAGGGTCCTGCCGCACAGGAGGGTTTTTATTTGGTTGCTTGTTTTGTTTTGTTTTGTTTTAAACCAGGGTTGCTTCTAGGGTCATCTGAATGCCCAGAAGATAATAAGTACGTGTATTTTCCCAGGACGAGCACCCACTGCTTCCACCAGACTCCCAAAAGGCTCTGTGGCCAGGCCTTGTCCCCTCATCCCTGCCAGAAAAAAAGGTCTTAAAAACCAGTGGTTATACAGATGATGACAGTCCAGGTGTCCTCCTCTAATGGTCCTATTACTCTTTAAAGTATGATGGCCTTTGCATGATTTAATTTAAAAAACTGTCACAGGAAATTATAAAAAATAGGTAGATACAGAATTTTCCTGTTAAAGTCATTTACTCTTTTGAAATGTCTTATGATCCTCCTTCTAGTGATTGCCTGAAATCTAGCATGGATGAATTATTTTCTATATTTGAGATTTTATATCCATATAATTACAGAATTTTTTAAAAATGTTATTTATTGATTGATTGTAGAGAGAGAGGAAGGGAGAAAGATGGAGAAATATCCATTTGTTGTTCCACTTATTTATGCATTCATTGGTTGATTCTTGTATGTGCTCTAACTGGGGATCGAACCTGCAACCTTGGTGTATCGGGGGGACAATGCTCTATCCAACTGAGTTACCTGGCTGGAGCTTAATTACAGAACTTCTAACAAAAGTAATCTGCTTTTAGGTACCTTATACTGGAAATGTTCAGATGTATTGATTTCATAGCTCTGAGCAGAAACTAACAACTATACTAATTTTAACTATGTTTAATAACAATGATTCATTAATAAATGAATTTGGGTAAATGTACTTTGCTCTAAGACCCACTTAATGCATTTTTTACATAGATATTTCAAAAATCATTGTGTAAATAAACACAAACATACACATATTTATTCACAGAAAATGCCTTTATGGCTTTAATATCAAACATAGCTGTCATGGTTCACAGAAAGAGCATAAAGTGCAAAAAGCTCCATTCCAAAAGGCCGTAAACTACTCCCAAAGCAATGGAGATGAAACGCTCCCACAGCCAGTAGGCACACCGCCATTACTCCCCACACCCCACACCCAGAGTGCAGAAGAAGGAATGTATCAGAAAATGCTCTATTTGCTATAGTTGTATATTGTGGTTATAAAATACTCTTAAATCTGGTTTAATATTTAGAAAAGGACATAACTCAAACAAGTAGTCCCTTAGAGTAGGGGCCATTAAAAAAAAAAGTCTGTAGAAGAATGATGTCTATAAAATCTATAAAATCCCCAGAGGATGCCAACCTGGCCTGAGGCTTCCCTTTGGGCAACTGGGATGGCAGCACCCAAGCAAAGAGCTGGCTGTGAAAGGTTCCAAGGCCTTTTGGGGAAAAGGAGCTCTGAGAGGGGCTCGGGCTAGGCAAGCTTCGGCCCTCACCTGCCCCTCGCAGGCGGCTCCACGTCAGCCCCCAGGGCCAAAGAGCCAGGGAGGGCGCACACCGGGGGAGGGCGCACACCCGGTCCCGGAGCCTCCGAGCCAGCGTTGGCTCACATGAGCACGATGGACTGGTGAGAGAGGCTTTTACACACCTAGGAAACCCAATGCACAGAACAGGGGACGGTGTTTTCACACAGCTGTGCCTGACGCCATCGGGCTTTTAGTCCCCCAGCAGAGCCTCTGTGATGTGTAGTAACGTTTTAGGGGCTCTTCAGAGGGACAGGCTGAGTTCCCCCAGAATGGAGCTTGTTAGCAAGAGACTCAGGCATCTGCACCCCACACGTCTTAAATATGTTCACTGAAGTACATCTTATAATAAATAGTACTACACTCATAAAGAGGAGCAAAGATTTCTTTTTCTGAAAATCAACAATCAATTGAACAGTATTAAACAAGAATCATTGACTTCATTGGTAACATTGTTTTTCGTTATGTTAACTCCAGTTCCTTCTGGATATTGATTTCGGGCAAATTCTAACCAGAACAAAAATCTGACAGCCATGCTGAGCGACTGGCGTAACCAAACTGCCAATGTCAAATCTCCTCTTCCCTGCCTTAATGGGGTGTGTGTGTGTGGGGGGGGGGGGGAGATTCTTGATTGCACATTAATGAAATGAGCCCTTCACTTATTTTAAATCAGGAAACACTAAAACCTGTAGAGGTATATATTTAACAAGTATTTCCTATTACTTGTCAGTCTGAGCGGAGAAGCACATTGAAAAGCAGAATTCAGCACACTCTTTCTAAGGCCCGTTCACACCAGGCCAGACGACTGGAGAAGACTCGGCGGTCAGTGCCACATCCAGTGGTGAGCTCGCAAGTGTCCAGGTGACCCCAGTGCCCTTCAAACCTGCTCCTCGTGAAAAATACACAGCTGGCACTTACATTCCAGTCAAACTACAGGGTAAACTGTCAGCTCTAAAAGATATTTACAACTGTCACAGGGAAAAAAAAGAAGGAAATATATCAAAATATTGCCAATGGTTGTGTTTGAGCTGTAGAAATAGATTACTTTAACTTTTTTACAGTATCCCAATTTTCTTCAAAAGAGCATGTAGTGCTATAAAAGATTATAAATATATATATATAAAACATAAATATGAATGACTTAAAACAAGACCAGTGTATTCCTGCTCTCATGACTTGCCATCCCACACTGGCAAGCTATAGTGACTGCTGTTCAGAAGAATTATGTTTTGTCCTCCACAATATACCCCACTCCACACCCCTTTCTCAGCCCTCATCTCATTAAAACCAATTTCTAGTAGGACATTGTGTTCTTCATATCAAAAGCATTCCTTCTGACATGTGAACTCAGTCATTTGTCTGTGGTAGAGACGGGAATCGCCCAGAGAGGCAGGACACATGCTTCCTTACTCCCAGCAGTCACATTTTATCCCTATTTCCAAAGGACACCCAGAAACTTCCAGAAGGTTGAAGACTTGGGAATGGAAGGTAGTGTTCCCCAAAGAACAGGTCCTGCATCTGACAGCAGGAAATGGTCCATCCTAGACTGTGGGGATGATGCTCCCCTAGCTGAGGAACCGAGACAGAAGTTACACCTGGCACGCACACTGATAACATCTACTCTCCTCTCTGCTTCTCCTTATCTGTGCTTCCACGCTAAGGCAGCTGGGCTTAACATACATCAAACCCCTAACTGACAGCATTTTATCCTGCAGAATGAATGAAACCAGAATCCATACCTGCTAAATCAACCTGAAGAGACAACGGTCTGATATTCCCCTTTTAAAAATTCTAGACTTGAAACCCAAAGGACTTAGCAGTTTTCTATTTCTGTTTCATGAACCACCTAGGTCTCAAGGAGGTATATTAGAGGTCCCTGAAATATTTAATTCAAATATCATTTTAAAAAATATTTTTACACTATAATATAGCAACAGGTACACTCATTCAATACCAAATGTTTCTACCTGGAAAAACAGCAAATTGTTAATTTGCATGTCACTGCCTGATATAATTTAAGGAAATGCTATAAGTTTAACCTTAAAATAAATTTAAGCTAATAAAATACAACCTATCTCACACATTAGGGTTCCATAAAGATTTCTTACTGCAAACAGGCTTCTGCTGCTAAAATAATTTGAAAACCACAGAAATAGGAAAAAGTTATTCATTTTTAAACTCTGAATTCAGTTCTTTAATGGGCTTTTCACCTTAGATCCTGTGCAAATTCTGGCCAGAGGAAGAGTTCCTGGAGATGCCAAAACAGCTGCTGCCCAGCTCTCAGATATGGGCAGTGGCATGCTTCCTGTCCACACAAGAAGGACGCCGGCCTGCCCTTCCTCACAATGGGACATTGCAAAGCAGAAAGTGCCTGAGTTAATGCGAGTATCCCTGAGGTCCTGCATTCCCACCTCAAACCTTAGAGGGAGTTTGGAGTCTTCCATCCATCCCAGTGAAGAGCAGATTGAATTGCAGCCCATGTCAACTTAGGTGAGAAAAACTCAGAAGGCAACAGACGCACCCTGCTGCACCAGCCAAGGTCCCAAGCAGCCAGAGTGTAGCTACTGCCAGTACTTAAGAAGAGTGACCAAATGCTCCAAGAAACTACAGGAAGCACCTCACGCTGTGAGAGGATGGAGTGTAATTCCCACAGCAAAAATTAGAGAAGGGATGGGGGAGATTCATGAGCATAATTTCCAGATAGCATACAAGAGGTTTCCAATGAACACAGGTTTCCAAAACTTCATGTTTGTTCCAAATTTTGAGCTGGGACCACCCCCGGCCCCAACATCACAATTGCTACAAGCCCTTTGGCATGTTACAGAGGTCAAGCAGAGGAGAAAAGGGGCATCTGTGTAGGGACCGCAGCTGTTCCTCTGTGCGTCTGAGGCTACTGGGCTGGGGTAGAGGACAAGCAAGGTCAACATTTAAAAACTGTCATCTTCAAGAATGGCTTAAAGTGGAGAGTAGTTTTTTGGCATAGAGGGGTTTTCTTGTTTACCCTCCTCCAAAGTCAAGTCTCCATCTCTCAGCAGAGGTAGAAGTGAAAGGATACACAAAGCCACGTCAACCCTGGGTGATTGGGAGCTGCAAGCGCAGCGCAAAACTATCTTCCGAAGCCACAAGCCTTGTGCACGTTTCATTTGTCTGGTTATTGTTTTAAGATGGGTTTCCCAAATGAAAATCTGGCATCTTCCATCAGACCGTTGGAGGGTGTAATCTGTCACAGGATTGTTGTCCCCAGGAACGGTGGGATCTGGACCCGGCAAACTCTCCAGGAAGCGAGGTTCTACGCAGCACCGAGCCCCCCATCGCCACAAAGGACACAGCCCAACAAGCCACGGCCTCTAAAAGTCACGCTGACGCAGTGCTCTCAGCCCTCCAGTTTCCAATCTTGGGGACAGTGGAGTCCGGGTAATAGACAGCTAATAAGAGCCAAAGGAACTACATTTAAAAAGACCCACCCCCAACTCTGAGAACCCAGGGCTGTCTTTGCAGGCTGGAAGCCTGGGGACCAGAACACCTGAGCAGAGGAGCCCGCCTTTCCATCAAGTGATCTTGACTGCAGATTTCTTGGTGGCGCAGAGGAGGGACACATAGGGCACGCCGATGAAGGCCCATTTTTCGCTGGGCCAGAACCTGATGACCGGACCTTGCTCGGGGATCTCGGAAGCAGCATCAAAGTAGGCGAAGCACACGCAGCCCAGGTAGGCGGCCAGGCAGATGAGGATGTGCCTGCAAAGAGAGCAGAGGTGAGCGCGTGCGGCCCTCCCTCCCGCCCCGCCCCCATTCTCCGTCTCTGAGGGCCTATTCCCATGAGGGTGGGTAAAGGTGGCCAGAGGACCCCCGGAGTAGAGGAGAATGATACATCTGGAGCAAACAGGGCCTGTTTCAGAACGTTCTAAAATATTCCAGCTTCATAGCAGGAATAAATGGCAAACATCTTTGGGATTCAACCAAGACTGAGGCCCAAGGATTTAAAACAGGAGGTAAGAGGATGGAGTTATCAAGCACCCAGGCTGTGAAGTATTAATGGGGCACAAAAATGAAGATAATATACAGGCATTGGTAAGGAAAGTTGTCCATGACCTAGTATTTGGTTTAAAAAAGAAAAAAGGAACAGTTTGCATCAGGAATAGAATGATGCTATTTTTGTTTTTAAAACGCAGAATTAGAGAAAAATATGTATATGTGCACACATGTGTATAAAATCAGGAAGGATATACCTCAGGCTGTGAACAACTGTTATCCCTCTTTGGTATATGGAATTATGAGAGTTTCCCTCTTCCTGTATTTCTGTGTTGTTTAAACTTATTATTAAAAAAACAAATATGCCATTTTATAACTGGGACAAAACCATGGTTCAATTTTGAAAATCAAAGCAGAAAGTATAACAACTTAGAAACAAATTGTTTAAGCCAAAGTTATTACAATCTAATCTTTGAATTTTACTTAAATCACTAGTGTGACCAGGGAACTCGGACTGACAAAAATGTACTGTATCTTGAATGAAGCCATTTAACACAGGTGGATACAAATATCAAAGTTCAATAATCAACAAAAGAAAAATGCAATCAAAATATAACCAAAGACATTGAAATTAAGAACAATCTAACAATAGCCAGAGGGGAGGGGGGAGGAGACAGTGGGTGAAGGGTTTTCAGGAACTACTATAAAGGACACATGGACAAAACCAAGGGGGAGGGTGGAAGCAAGGGGGGGGGGTTGGAGGGAGTGGGGGGTAGTGGTGGGGGAAAATGCAGACAACTGTAATTGAACAACAATAAAGTAATTTAAAGAAAACAAATATAAAAGTTCATCAACATTTGTACTTAAATCTGTACATTTTATTATCTGTAAATTATAGTTCAGCAAATATATTAAGTATGTATAAATTCACTAGTGTGAGTTAAGGTTGAATCTTAGAAATATCAGGCAATGGATCCTAAGGCTGGAATTGCAATTTCAGCTGTTTTATTTATTCTGTGTTTTGCAAAGTGTTCTGGAAATTCCCAAGCCTTTAAAAAAGTTGTGGTTTTTTTTCAATTCTAGTTAACATACAATAATGGAAGTCCCCAAGTCTTAAACTGAGAGCAGATTGGGTCTCTTGGTGGGTATATACAAGTTCACGTGTTCAAGGAAATTTAAGTGAATTCCTTCAAACCATAGAGTTTTAGGCATCTCCTGATATAAGTCCAGCTTCACCTGGATCTATATCTAACAAAGTTTTTCCAATTCCTTACTAATAGAATTCCTTCCTGGATGGTCTCAGTTTGCAAAGGACATTCCAAACATATTTCTCTTGGTCCTTGTTGTTGTTTGCCATCAGTAGTCCTTTGGACAGAGAGGGAAAGATGACTCTGAGTTTTGAGCTGAATTGATTCCAAGGAAGGAAGCCGCTCAATTTCTCCCTCAGCTTTCTGAGTGTAGGACACCACACTTTATAACCTGCTTCTCTTTTTACCTAACAGTGTATCCTGAGCATTCCTGGTATAAATGTTCCAATTCCCTGTTATTGAACTCCTAGGCTGGTTTTATAAAACCAGCTGGTGTTGTGAACAATTCACTTTACTTCTCTGGGCCTCGGTCTCCACCTGTGAGGTGAATGGGTGAGGCTGTCCCTAGGTGACCTGGGAGGCCCATGCTTTCAGGTGGTCATTCAAACCCAAAAGGGAACTTGGGTTGACAAAAATGTACTGTATCTTCAAAGGGTTTATATTTACCTCATCGTGGTTCCTGGTTGGAGGTCCCTGTCCTTGTCCCCACATCTGTCCCAGCCTCCCCCACCTCCCTCACCCTAGAGATCAAGCCGGAGCTCAAGTGACAGATTTGGTTTTCAAGCTCCATTATGCTTTAATAATAGAGCTAGAGGTCAGAGACCCGGGCTTGAAGCATAAACAATTCACTCTTTTTGTTCTGGCTGAGCCAGCTCCCAGGAGCCCATTCTGCTTCTGACAGTAGTTTCTGTTGCTTGGGTCTGACAGGCTCTGTGAGGAGAGAGGGGTGCTCGGGCTCAGCTCTGTCCCCTGGGCACACCTGTGCACTCTGAAGGAGAGCGGAGCCTGAGGAAAGTGCACACCACTGTCCTGCAGCCAACTCCCCACTAGCAGGGGCTTACCACACACAGTGCAGGTAGGGAAAGTGGAAGGACGACAGCAGCTCGCAGAAGGCTCGGTCACTGATCCAGCAGAAGAGGGCAAGGGTCCACCAGAGGCCCGAGAAGAGGCCCAGCTTAATGACACGCACATTGTCACACCTGCACAGGACCCAGAGAGAAATTCACCATGATCCCTGGTTTCAACCTGCTTCACTGGCAGCTCGTCTGGTTCCGCATATCTCCCTAGTCCCTCAGCACTGGAATTCCTTACTACCCAGCAAACCGTCACGCCACCAGCTCAAGGATGCAAATCCCACATGTACACAGATGTACCTCACAGAGTCATACCTCTCTCCCAGGCCTCTCCCCGACTCCAGACTCACACACCCAACTACCTTCTTGACATGTCCACCTGGTGTCTAATATAGAACAAAATTGAACTGTTCATTATAAACTCCAAACTTTCCCCATGCCCAAAACCTATCCTCCCAGCCCTCTGAGAAAAAAGTCATTCCATGCTTTCGGAAGCTCAGGTCAAATATATACACAATTTATTCTGCAATCTAAAAAGCAAAATAAACAGGTCTGTAGCCTTGCCACTTTAAAAGATGAAATGAAAACTGACAGACACAAATATCAACAAATACATAGGCAATTAGTCTGGAACAAGAGCATCTATGTGCACTTGGTTTCATTAAACCCAGGAAGTTTGGCTTAAGGAACACACCCACACAGAGAGCAGCAGATGTGGTGTGTTTTGGATGGCAAGAAAGGGGTGGAGTGTCACATGGGGTGACCAGTCCCATGGGGGCTGGGCTGGGCGGACACCTGTGATGTGGAGGGCAAGCACTGCAGTAGTCAGGATCACGGGGCAGCCTGGGACCGACCCTTTCTCTGTTTGCAAATGGGCAGACCCTGCTATGTGCCACTGACCAGGCTTATTTGCACTTGGGGCTCATCCAAACTTGACCTCTATTGGGTTTTATTCCCACTTTTCAGGGCTTGTATCAAAATGTCAATGTGAGGTTAAGTAGAAAAGGAGATCAAAGTTAGGGCAAAAAAATCTGAGCGTATGTCCACCATTCCTTCTCTTCTTGACCCTTTGTTGCATTCTTAAAAGTTTTTCTTAACAATCAACCCACTCCTATAATCAGAAAAAAAAAAAAGAAGTCTATTTTAGCCCTGGCTGGTATGGCTCCGTGGCTTGAGTGGAGGCCTGCGAACCAAAGAAAGGGTCACTGGTTTGATTCCCAGTCCGGGCACATGGCTGGGTTGTGGGCCAGGTCCCTGGTGGGGGGCACAGGAGAGGCAACCACACACTGATGTTTCTCTCCTCTTTTTCTCCCTCCCTTCCCCCTCTCTCTAAAAATAAATAAAATATTTTTTTAAAAGTCTACCTTAAAATATTTTCGATGTAGCTGAGTCACTTGGAAACGTAACAACACCACACAGTTCAGTAAATGTCAGATCATGACCACAAGTCATAATAAATTTTATCCCCTTGTGGTCTGAGAGAAGGCTCAGAAAGGTCAATGAAAATATGAAAAGACTAGAAACGAGCTCTAGGAACGAGGCTAATGAGAAAGAGAAAGCAGGACAACAGTCCCGCCCCCTGCTTCCCTGAGCAGAGGGAAGATCGATGAGAAACATTTAGCTAACCTATGACATATCATTGCTGATGAGAAGCAGAGAAAAACCTGGAAGAAAATGCAAAAAGCAAAGGGGCGTCCTGGTGGCTGGGAATTTTATCAGAACAGCCAACAGCCACCTTCACTTTCCTACGGTGGCTCGGGTGGGCACTGGGGCTCGGCAGTGAACACAGGGACCTCATCCCTGTCCCTGTGGAGTCTGCAGAGGGCAGACACGCCAGACATGGAACGAAACAACAGCACAAATACTATTTAAATTTCAACCAGGACGAGTGCCATAAAGAAGAAGCGTGGGGTGCTCTGAGAGCATACACACCGTTGAGCCCAAACCTGAAGCATGAACAGAGGTGAATGAAGTGGAAGGGTTAGAAAGAAGCACAACCTCGGGCCTGGGCCTGGAGGAGCAAGGCCACCTTGAGAACACGGGAGGTCAGAATGGGTGGAGGAGAGAATATAAGGGGGAGCTTTGTGTGGGAGAGATCAGCAGGCAGGGCCCATGTTGAGGATTTTGAACTTTATTAAAACTGCAATGTCAACTAATAGAAAAATTTTTGTAAGCCAGCGGGTTGTTCAGGGAAGGAACAGCTAGCCAGGCTTCTGGCTTGAGCAACTAGGTAAACAGTACTCCATTTACTATGTCTGAAAATTTTAAGAGAACCAGAAGAGGAACAGGTAGAGCAAGAATCTGGTTTCTGACAAGGTGAATTTGAGATACCTGTGGCACATGGACTTGGGGAGGCCAGGTCAGCAGCTCGGTGCATGATGGTGGAGGCAGAAGAAAGGACCGGGTTGGAGACGTAAATCTGGGAGTCGTTCAGTAATTAAAGCCATGGGAGTAGATGAGGTAATGGGGGGAGAACTATAGAGGGAGCAAAGCAGAGAGGTGAGACTGCACCTAAAGAGATCCGTGCATTTACGGGTGTATAGAGCAGGAGCTTACACGAGAGACTGAAATGAAGCTGGCAGAGGTAGAACCCAGGAGGGTGTGGTGTCCTGACAACCGCAGGAAAGGACGGCTGAATGATGTGGGGCGGGCGGTGAATTTTGCAAACAGTTGTAAGAACAACACAGAAGACCCAGGAGGCTGAAAAATTGCCACTGAATGTACAACCAAGAGGGTGCAGGTGCTGAAGTGGGGGCAGAAGCCAGACAGGATTAGGTTGAGAGTAAAAGAAGTGACAGATGGAGACAACTTGAAAAGAAGCTTGGCTGTGAGGTGCCAGAGACAAAAAGGGTGATGGCTGGAGACGGACGTGGACTGAGCCCGAGCTGAGTATTACAGAAGACAGGGAAGACTCCAACCTTTCTAAAGGCTAATGGGAAGGACCGTTCCTGTAGACAATTTACAGGAGTAAAGAAGATACAGGAGAATGGAGGGAAATATCAACAGGTAGAAAGACTGACCCTAGATGGGAGGAGGTATTCTTCCCAGGATGCTGCATTTGTTAATGCCACAGTGAACCCCAATTAGCTGCAGTGGTGACTGGATTTTCAGGGACAAAGATTTTAAGCCTGGAACAGAAATTAAGTCCTTTATAATTACTTACAAAGATTCGACTATTAAAGGAAAATATGTCTCCCTGCTTAAAGATCACCATTGTGAAGCAGAATTTACTTAAACTTTAAGTTTAAATAGAGAATTTATTTAAACAATTCTTTATTTAAACTCTAAGTGTCCTAACCACTTGTCTTTCTCCATTTGCTCTTGTTTAGGTATCATGAATTAAAAATATTTTACATTTCCTTAAGCTATTTTTAATAAAATTATAGGATAAAACATTATTAGACTCAAGAGTTAAAATGAAATTAGATTGCAATGAATTCTCAAGAAATATAACTAGGTCCAGAACAGCCTACTCACTTCAGGCCTAATATAAGCCAACACTACTGGAGCGACTATCACAAATCCTTTTAAGATGTCTTTATCAGCTATTTAATTGTGTGTTTTCCAAAGAGCTTCAAGATCTGTTAGTGTTCTGAAAGAGGATTTCTAATCCCCCAGTCCTTAAAGGCTCCTCAAAGAAGCCAACAAGACAAGACCTGACAGCATCCTTCCACAGCCAGCCAGCACACTTAAATGCCTCTTCAACCGCCTTTGCCCCTGCCTGGCACTGCTGACAACCAAAGCGATCCCCACAGGCAGAGCAATGGAAAGAAATGTCTCCTTTCTAAATGAAGACTGAGGGAAAGCTGGCTTTTAACATATCACACAGAGCAACTTTCACAAAGGTGCCTAGATACAAGACTTCAGCTAAGACACCCCATGCCCATAACAATGAGAGAATCATGCACACACACACACAAAGCTGGACACACATACACAAAAGCATTTTCAAAGAGTGTTCAAATAAGGGCCATAGTCATATATCTTTCAGTTGGGGCTAGAAGAATATAGTTGTGTATACACAAGAGCTAAGCAAGCCCTTGCTGGTGTGGCTCAGTGGATTGTGCGCTGGCCTATGAACCAAAGGGTTGCCGGTTCAATTCCTAGTCAGGGCACATGCCTGGGTTGCAGGCCAGCTCCACAGTAGGGGGCGCACAAGAGGCAACCACACATTGATGTTTCTCTCTCTCCTTCCCTTCCCCTCTCTCTAAAAATAAATAAATAAAATATTAGAGCTAAGCTAAAATGTTTCTGGATATCAACCTTGAACTCTGAGAATACAACTTTCCAAAGGAAAATGCTTACACAAATATCAAAGGCTTTACCTGACAGCTTGGAAATAACAAACTAGGTCTCAGAGAATGCAGCAAAGTCAAGAGTATTACACCAGAAGTCAAAGTTACCTTGTATATAGAAATTCATTCCTTTTTCCTTCTGTAACAACAGCCTCTTTAATATTATTCTCCTTATTCTTGACATGTGAACAAATGTATTCTCTTTACAGATTTCACTCTAAGCTGCTTGGTCTAGGGCCATGCCAGGTCCTTGAAATGTTCCTGCTAAGCTAGCTTTGGACCCTCATGACGTACTACACCCACGAAACAGCTGTTCCCCTCTTTCTGAAAATGAGATCAAACCTGCTTTCAATCCAACAGTCAGGAACTATCTCTTCATGAAGAGTCAAACGCCTCTTCCACCCTCGGGGGTAGTAGAGGCACCTGGAGCTGCTGGGCCTCTGTCACAGGGACAGCTAAATGGGCAGGCAGGAAGAACCACACCTACCTCTTCAGCTCTGCGATGAGCAGTGCAGTGCAAGGAACCCCCAGTGTCATCAGAGAGATGTTGTTGATGGCGGGCTTGACAAACGCCAGACATGTTGTAACTGCAGAAAGGACGCAGACCACAGCCTTGAACCTTCCCCTGAAATGGTGAAAGCAAACCAAATCCATTAGCGAAGGAGGCCTTGCCTGTGGAGTATGGACAAACAGCAGGCACTGCTGGTGGGGGTGGAAGCTGAAAAGAAATTGCACACTAAGCGCCCAGAGTCTAAAACCACTCACACACACTGGCCCAATAATTCCACTTCTAGGAATTTGTCTTTAGGAAATAATCTGAAGTTTTCTAAGTATTTAGCCATGAGAACGATAAAATTAGAATCAACTTCAGTCCCTAAGGGTGAGATATGGATACCTATTTCCTTAGTATGACTTTCCTGTATTCTTTTCACCTGTTTTACAGCAGAATTTGGCAAACGTTTTCTGTAAGAGGTCAGATAGTGAAAATGCTGGGGTCTGCAGGCCATCGGTCTCTGCCACTGCAGACAGTGAGCGAGGGAGTGGGCATGGCTGTGCACCAACGAAACTGGATTTACCAGGACAGGTGGTAGACCAGTTTGGCCCAGAGAACACAGTTTATCAACCCATGTTCTACAAGCTTCCTAGTTTAAAAAAAAACCACCCTGTTTCTAGCATGCAGAAGTAAGTCTTAAAACATTCTAACAGTGTCTATATTTACTGACAATCCGCAGGCTAGTATGCATTGCAGTTCTGTGTTGACAAGTTTTTGGCATGACAAATCTTAGAAAAGTAACTGATAGTGTCCTTCCACTCTTCGGCGGAGGTGCTTTCAGCAGAACGAGCCAGCAAGGCGACGTGATCCTGAACACACTCCATCTCCTCTCCCTGGGACTCCGTTTCCTTATTCATAAACTGAGAGGCTGAACTAGATGATCTCTAAGGCCTCATCTACGACTGAAACATAAGAAGAGCTCCTGATTTTCCCCAAGTTTCTGTTATGAGCACAATTTACTTTGGCCAAGAGCTCTGGGGCAGGTCACGGTTAGGAAACTAATTTGAATGACATTCCATTATAAAAAAATCAAAGTGCATTGAAACCTTAAAAATACAAATGCATCTCTTAGAGGAAAATCATTTATCATCAAGGCACAGGAAATCATTGATCAAGCTGCCAACTTTCTGAGTGGAATGAGCAGGAATTGTGGCCCTGAACTTGGACCAGAGGAAAAAACTACATATGGGAAAGGATCTAGGCAGCAAACCCCAGGAGAACCATGTCTTCCTGCTGGCCTTGGCCAGCATCCTTCGGCTACCGGGTAGAAGGTTGCCTGCGCGCCCACCCCCAACATGCTTGTAACCCTGGGAGACCTACAACAACTCTCACTGGGTTTAAGGTCCTGTGACACATGCCAAGGCTTGTGGCCTTTTTTGATTGAATAAACACATAATTTAAAACTTCCAAATTGTATCACTTGCCTGTATCACCTGCCCCCATTTAGTAGCTGTGGGTTCTTTGGCAAGTCACTGAACTCTCCCCAAGCTTCAGGTTTCCCACATGGAGAATATAACACCTGCCTTATGGTGTTCTTGCAAGCACTAGAGCACTTCATACAGTGCCTGGTACATGGTGTGTGCTAATAAAATCCACTATTACTATTATCATTACCACCACTTGAGAATAAATGCTATTTAAACTATTACTATTGTTAATAATAGCACACTCTCAGGGAAAATCTGATGGAGCTGGTATTGCAATCACCAAAGACTCTATATAGTATTGCCAAAGAGTTCAAAGACAGCGAGCTTGACAAAACATGCTTTCTTTGAGGAGAACATGGGCAGACACCTCCCACATCAGTCCTGTGGGTGTGTAGGAATGTGCTCGGGAAAGACAGCTTAGCCAAAGAGAACGTCCTGTACGTGTTCAATTTTGCAACCAGCAGAAGCCAGCAGAGATCACACGGCCAGCCCAGCTGACCCCAGCGTCACCAGACACTGGGGTCAAAGAGCCAGGGGCCCGACAAGCTGTTTTCTAAACGATGATGACAGGCAGCCCCTACTGCAGGCTCTGGCCCTGTGTTCAACCTTCCAGCCCGAATGGGTTCACACCGGAACACAAGGTCAGGGAGCTCTTAGCGCCCCTGCTTTCTGCATTCCCCTAACTGAGATGTAGCAGCCCGATACCATCTGCATCATGTTATTATAACACAACTGTACTATTATCATTAGTTACCCTTCAAAGCAGTGGTTTTCAACTCTGTCAGATCCTGTGCCCGTTTTTTAAATCAAATATTTGGTAATGTCCCTTTTACTCTTCTGAAGTAAAATGAAATTTATAGGCAACAAAACCTCCCATCACTGTGACCACCGTAAACTTCCCAGATGTCCTTTGGGAGACAGAAATGTCCCTGGTTAAGATCCACTGCTTTAAATTGCCCTATAGGATTAAAACGTAACTGATTCAGAACAAGCCCCTAATAGTCACAAGACTACAGCATGTGGCCCTGGAAGGCCCACCTCTGTCGTTTCACAAGTAAGGAGCTGAGGAGGCCCAGAGAGCCGAGGCTGGCGATCCCGAGTCACCATGATGGTGTGGGGGCAGGGCAGGCAGGCCTGGCCTGCAGCCTTGCCCTTGGGAGGCAAAAAATGAACTGGAGCATGAAATGAGGCCTGGCCCTAGATTCTATAGAGACAAAATCTTAAAAAATAACAGCAGGATATATTTTTTAAGAAATGGATACAATTAGCCTATAATACTTCTTTGGTTTTGGCTTTTTTCTCAGAACAAAAACATCTAAAAATTATTATTAACCATTAATAGCGGAGTGTGTGCCCTGACAATTCTTAGAACATTCTAGGCAAGGTGAAAGAGAGCTCTTCTTTTTTAAAACCCACCAACTATTCCTATTTACATAATAAACATTTTGCTGGCTGTTCTAGACATCCTCATCTTCAAAACTCTTGCCTACATTAGCCATCATAACTGCTAGCACTCCGTGCATCCCTAGTCTGGATGAGACACTGTACTATGCACTTTATAAGATTATGTCATGTATTTCAAACTTCATGAGGTAGGTACTTTTACTATCTCCACTTTACAGATGAGCAAAATGAGGTATCAGAGCTTTAAAAAAAAAGAAAAGTAGATTGTTATTCAAATTCATATTTGTCTGCCCCATAGTCACTGAGACCCCATACTGTCTCTTCTCCAGAAACCTCACACTGGAGCTACTCTTGATATGCTTTCAGAAATAGTCCAGCGAAGTCTAGATCACAAGCAAATTTTAAAGGAAAGATAAATTTTAACCATCTGGTAAATTCAGATGGCTAAACCATACAACCCCCAGTCCAAGGGTGTCAAACTTATTTTCACCAGAGGCCACATCAGCCTCGAGGTTGCCTTCAAAGGTCCAGATGTAATTTTAGGACTGTATAAATGTAACTACTCCTTAACAGGTAAGCGAGAGCTCAGCGTTGCCACCAGGTAGAAACAAGGTGCCGGGCCGGATAAAACAAGGTAGAGGGCCGGATGCGGCCTGAGGGCCTTGTGTTGCCACCTGTGCCCTAGTCTGTAGAAATCCTGTTTTTTTCCTAAAATCTTTGGCCTGGCCTGCCACTCCCACTGTAGGGCTCCCACCTGTTATGGGCGGCACAGCCCATGTGGAGGGGTTTGGTCTTCTTGCTCTCGATGACACTGGGAAAGTGAAAACAGACAGGTAGAACCAGCATCCTTATTTAGAGAGAGTCACTGTGTCTGTAACATGCACCTTTCTTTCTTTGCTCATTAAAATCATCACTGCCCATTTTTTCCTTCCAGTTGTATGCATGCCTCTGAGGTGCTAGGCAGAGCTCCGCACTACATGCCGTGGGTAGTCCTGAAAGTTCATTTTGACTGAGCACTCACCTTGTTCTTAGTGATGTAAGAACTACTCTGCAGAGTCCTCTCACAAAGTCCTTATTACTTAGCTAATTTTACAGATGAAGAAATAGAAAGTTAAAGAATCAAGACAAGTTATATAGTTTGTAAGCTGGGAAGCTAGGATTCAAACTCAGGTTTTCTTCAAAGCCAGGGACAGATACATATAAGGTGGTCAGAGCCTCTGAAGGACTCGGCTCAAACTGAAGAGATGAGTCACATCTGCAGAGAAATGGTGCTGGTGACGGAAGAGTCCCAAGGGGTCACAGACTCCCTGCCTCATAGTAAGTAGGTTTTCATTATTAAAGTTGGTAAGCTTGAACTACTACAAGCCACAGCTCCACCTTCTCCTCTCCTGCTCAACAACGTTCCCTCACTGTCACCTCCAAGAAACAAGAAAAGAAAAAGATTCTCTATTATGACTACATTAAAATGTTACTTGGAATTGCAACCCAGGCTTCCAGAGTGCCACAGACAAATAAACCAAACGCTTATTCCCATTTCTTGAACTTCTCGCTCAGATCCCGGGACTTGAAAGATAAGATCTAAGAACAAAGTGGTTACCCGCTTTCAACCTAACACACACCTCCAGGCTAAGTGAAGGGATGGGGGTGACTGGTGGGCACCTTCTAAGACAATAAGAAGAACCATTTTACCAGGCAGTCAAAGAAGTCCCTGCCTGTCAAGCCACCTCTTGACCCTGCCTGGTGCCATCCACCTCACCCTCTTCCCCACCTCACAAGGCTTTCTGATCATCCTCAGTCATTCTCTTGAAGCTGAACAAAGAAACAAGAGAAGACTAGAAACCACAGACTGCCTGAACAACCTGCTGCGTTTTAAAGTACGCTTCCCCCACTGAGCAGAAGGCCTCAGCAAGACGGAGATGGTATTTCATCTAAGACCAGGAACACCTCCTTTTTATTTCTCCTTGTAAACGGCTGGTTCTTCCTCTCCCTCCCTCCCCCTCTCATTTTTAAAAATTTGTATTTATTGATTTTTAGAGAGAGAAAGAGGAAGGGAGAGAGAGAGAGAAAAAAAAACACCAATTTGTAGTTCCACTTACTTATGCAGTCACTGGTTGGTTCCTGTATGCGCCCTGACCAGGGACTGAACTCACTACCTTGGCGTATCAGGAAGATGCTTTAACCAATTGATCTACCTGGCCACAGCCTTCCTCTCACTTTTTAAATAGTAACCTTCTTGAGGATACTTCCTTCTGCTTGATGATACTGAGAGATAACACTATTTAATTCAAGTCCTGCTACTTGAATTAAAGATTCAAGGCTAATGAAGATTCTATAGCTAATCCATGTAAAGTATTTTTTTCTCCCTGCCTCACTTAAAAATACACTTTCATATTAAAAATTAACATATGCTCTTATAAAAAAATGGAAATAGTACAGATTAAAGGTAAAAATGAAAGCTCTCTCTCCATCCCGGTTCCTAAGAATGGAAGTGGTTGTAGCCTGCACCCTCCCTGGCGTTTCCGTGCATGTACAAAGACATGCACCCAAAAGGAGGTTCTCACATTCATCCTAAAATTAGAGCATTACACACATGGCTCTAAAATGTGCTCTGCAGCTGGCACATTCCATGGCCACCTTCCTTCTCAGTCCAAAACAACAGGCTTTGTCTTTAATAGACACACAGCTCCTGTCCCTGTATCGGCTTGCTTAACTGAATCCATATCTTCAGACTATTTATCCATGTATCTTGACAAGTCACAGTGTCCTACAGAGAAACATGTGAGTAATAGGTTCTGGGAACATTTCTTATCTTAATGAGGCTGACTCTCTTCTGTTCCTTCAGATACTAACAACCGTATACAGCTCCTCAGGAAGGCATTCGCTGACCATCTAAATCATCATCCACGTTACTACAATCTCTTAACCAGCTTCATTTTTCATCATAGCACTTGATACTCCCTAATATTATTTATATGTGTGTTTGTTGATTCACAGTCTCCCAACCTCAGTATAAGCTCATCAAGGGCAGAGATTCTATTATTTACTTTACTGCCATATCCCAATGTCTAGAAGCCTAGAGAAATGCATAGTAAATAGGAAGTGTTCAAAAATTATTCAATGGATGAATGATCATATAAGAATAAAACAATGAATATTAAAATGCATCCCTGCCTGAAATTCTGGGTTTCCAGTTTGGAGATATGTGCTTGTATGTATGTGTGCATGCACAGCTCCAATCAGAAGGAAAATATTGCAATTTGACAACTACAATTCCTATGGCTCTAAGAACCAGTTCCTGCCCTGGCTGGTGTGGCTCAGTGGATTGAATGCTGGTCTGTGAACCAAAGGGTCACTGGTTTGATTCTCAGTCAGGGCACATGCCTGGGTTACAGGCCAGGTCCCCAGTAGGGGGCACATAAGAGGCAACCATACATTGATGTTTCTCTCTCTTTCTACCTCCCTTTCCCTCTCTAAAAATAAATATATAAAATCTTAAAAAATAAAAAGAACCAATTCCTTAGTGGATTCTACGGTAAATTTATAAAATAGCCGAGTAGATTGGACTAAAGGAAATGTTCTAACAGGAAATCAAAGGTCTTTGAGCGGCTATTCAGTGATTTCTCCCCCACTGAAAAATCTTTCCATTTTTTCACATATCAACTAAGGGAGACATTTGACTTTTTGTCCCTAATGTTATATGAATTCTTCTCCAGGTATACTACAATCCCCCATTTTATGTGTCAGTTTATTTATACTGTCAAACTTGAAACAATCAGTGGATATTCAAAAGGTATATGATAAGCTTATCACTAGACTGGGCTTCATGTCTGTTATTTTTCTTGATATATACTTTATATTGGGTATTACACCTAGCAGTAAATACAAAAATATTTAGCCAAGCTTACCTATCATTCCGAAAGATCTTTGGTAGATACCTTCTAGGGAACCACATGGCCAGAGCACACATCAGAACCCAAAGGATGGCAAGTTCATCAAGCATCTGGCCCAGGAAACTCAGAGTCGCATGGAAGTAGACGGATCCAATTCCTAGAATCAATTACAGCCAATAAAAAAGTCACCAAAGAAGAACAGACTCACAAATTCAATACACTGCTTAAGGATAGCCCTTTTACCACCACTATCACTATCACCAAATCGCTCTCTCTCTTTGAAAAAAGAAACTGAAGGAAGAAACTCATACCACCTAGGCATGCAGGCCTTGAGTCTAAGATTTTATTTATTTATTTTCAGAGAGAGGGGAAGGAGGAAGAGAGAGCAGGAGAGAAACATCAATCAGTCGCCCCTTGCATGCCCCTAAATGGGAACTGGCCCAAAACCCAGGCATGTGCTGGCAGGAATTGAACTGGCAACATTTTAGTTTCCAAGACACCCCACTCACTAAGCCACACCAGTCAGAGCCAGAATTCAAGTCTAGAAAGAGAATCTCAAGTAGGGTCTATATATCAGCACATCAGAACTTTAATGATTCCACAGCTAAACACATTCTGTCTTTATCTACTAGCCCTCATAAGAACAGGCAGTAGAGGTCAACATTCTCTCACTGTTCAGAATTCCCAATCTGCCTGTGGAAGAAAATGGAAATTACAGACTTCCTGTCAAGATGGAGATATAGGTAGACATGCTTCACCCCCTTGGGCAATCAATCACAGAGAGAATTACAACTATTGCTCAAAACAAGAAACAACCAGAATCATCAGAAAGTCAAGCTATATGGAAGTCTGAGGACCAAGGATTTAAAGAAGCCACATCCATCCAGGTAGGTGCCTTTTACAGAAAGTCAAAGCAACTCTACCTAACACATAGAAACAAACAGAGGAAGGCTGCTGAATTGAGGAGACAAAGAAATATGGTCCAAATGAAAGAAGAGAACAAAACCCCAGAAAATGAACTAAATGAAACAAAAGGTAGCCAACCTATCAGATGCAAAGTTCAAAACACAGGCGGTCAGCATGCTCAAAGAACTCAATGAGTATGGCAACACATAAGGGAAGAAATGAAGGTTACACTAAGAGAAATAAATAAAAATCCATAGGAAACCAACAGTGGAGAGGAGGAAGCCAGAATCAAACCAATAATTTAGAACACAAGAAAGGAAAAAGCATTCAATCAGAACAGCAGGAAGAGGACTTCTGGCCAAGATGGAGGCATAAGGAGATACACTTTGCCTCCTTGCACAACCAAAAGAAGGACAACAACAAATTTAAAAACAACCAGAACTGCCAGAAAATCAAACTCTAAGGAAGTCTGAAAACCAAGGAGTTAAAGAAGAAACATTAATCCAGACTGGTAGAAGAGGCGGAGGCTGGAAGCCAGAGTGGAGAGAATGTGCAGCAAGGCCGCAGCTGGAGGACTGGGCTGGCAAGGTGGCAGCTGGCAGTCCTACATTTGCATGGGGATAAACCAAGAGGAACAACTGGGGAGTGAGAAAGACTGTGCAACCCAGGATTCCAGTGTGAGAAAAGAAAGCCTCAAAACCCTCAAAAAACTCTGGTTGTAAAAATCTGTGGGGGTTGCCGTGGTGGGAGAAACTCCCAGACTCACAGGAGAGTTCATTGGAGAGAACCACAGGGTCCTAGAATGTACACAAGCCCACCCACCCAGGAATAAGCACTAGAAGAGTCCAATTTGCAGGTGGGTAATGGGGGAAGTGACTGAGAGCTGGCTGAGAGCAGAGCAAGTGGCACGGTTCCCTCTTAGACCCCTCTACCACATACAGCACCACGGTGCAGTGACCTGGGTTGCCCTACCTGGCAAATATCTAAGGCTCCACCCCTGACAATGAAACACACACACCCAGGCAAAAAAAAAATATATGGCCCAAATGAAAGAGCAGATCAAAGCCCCAAAAAGAGAACTAAGTGATGAACTCATAGACAACCTATCAGATGCAGAGTTCAAATCACTGGTAATCAGGATGCTCACAGAAATGGTCACAAAATAGAGGAAAAAGAGGCTATGAAAAGTGAAATAAAGGAAAATATACAAGCAACCAACAGTGAAAGAAAGGAAACTGGGACTCAAATCAACAATTTGCACTGAAATAAAGAAATAAACATTCAACCAGAACAGAATGAAGAAACAAGAATTCAAAAAAACGAAGAGAGGCTTAGGAACCTCCAAGACAACTTTAAACATTCCAGCATCTAAATCACAGGGGCGCCAGAAGGAGAAGAGAAAAAGCAAGAAACTGAAAACTTATTTGAAAAAATAATGAAGAACTTCCCTAATCTGGCAAAAGAAATAGGCTTCCAGGAAGTCCAGGAAACTCAGAGAGCTGCAAAGAAGCTGGATCCAAGGAAACACACACCAAGGCACATCATAATTACCTTACCCAAGATGAAACATAAGGAGAGAATCTTAAAAACAGCAAGAGAAAAGCAGAGAGTTACCTACAAAGGAGTTCCCATATGACTGTCAGCTGATTTCTCAAAAGAAACCTTATAGACAAGAAGGAGCTGTAAGAAGTATTTGAAGTCACGAAAGGCAAGGACCTACATCCAAGATTACTCTATCCAGCAAAGCTATCATTTAGAATGGAAAGGCAGATAAAGTGATTCCCAGATAAGGTCAAGTTAAAGGAGTTCATCACCACCAAAGCCTTATTATATGAAATGTTAAAGGGAGTTATCTAAGAAAAAAAAGATGATCAAAACTGTGAGCAGTAAAATAACAACAAACTCACAACTATCAACAACTGAACTTAAAACAAAAACAAGCTAAGCAAACAACTAGAATAGGAACAAAATCACAGAAATAGAGATCACATGAAGGGTTATCAGCAGGGAGAAGGGGAGGGGAGAGTCAGGGAAATGGTACAGTGAATAAGAAGCATAAATGGTAAATACAAAATAGACAAGGGGATATTAAGAATAGTATAGGAAATGGAGAAGCCAAAGAACTTATATGTATAACCCATGGACATGAACTAAGGAGGGGAATGCTAATAGGATGACAGGTGCATGGCAGAGGGGAATAAAGGGGAGAAAAAAATGGGACAACTGTAATAGCATTATCAATAAAATGATTTTTTTAAAAAAAGGAAGGAACCACACACACAAAAAAAGAACAGGAGGAAGAAAAAAGATTTCAAAAAAATGAGTGTAGGCTTAGGAACATTTGGAACAAGTTTAAATGTACCAACATCTGAATCTTAGGGGTGTCAGAAGGAGAAGAGGAAGGGCAAGAAATTCAAAACTTAGTTGAAAAAATAATGAAAGAAAACTTCCCCAATTTGACAAAGGAAATAGACATACAAGTCCAGAGAGCACAGAGAGTCCCAAACAAGTTGGACCCAAGGAGGACCACACCAAGACACTTCATAATTAAAATGCCTAAGGTTAGCCCTGGCTGGCGTGACTCAGTGGATTGAGTGCCTGCCTGCAAACAAGAGAGTCACCAGTTTGATTCCTAGTCAGGGAACATGCCTGGGTTGCAGTCCAGGTCCCCAGTATGAGGTGTTCAAGAGGCAACCACACATTGATGTTTCTCTCCCTCTCTTTCCCCTTTCCTTCCCCTCTCTCTAAATGTAAATAAAGAAAATCTTTTAAAAGGTTAAAGACAAAGAGAGAATTTTAAAAGCAGCAAGAGAAAAGCAGAGAGTTACCTACAAAGGAGTCCCAATAAGACTATCAGCTGATTTCTCAAAAGAAAATTTGCTGACAAGAAGGGGCTGGAAAGAAGTATTCAAAGTGGTGAAAAGCAAGGACCTACCACCTAGATTACTCTATCCAGCAAAATGATCATTTAGAATGGAAGGGCAGATGAAGTGCTTCCCAGGCAAGGTAAAGCTAAAGGAAAGGAGTTCATCACTACCAAGCCATTATTATGTGAAATGTTAAAGGGACTTATTTAAGAAAAAGTAGAAAATTAAAACTATGTACATTAAAATGACAACAAACCCACAACTATCAACAATTGAATCTAAAAAAACAAACTAAGCAAACAACCAGAACAGGAACAGAATCATAGATAAGGAGATCACATGGAGGGTTATCAGCTGGGAAAGGGAATGGGGAAAATGGGGGAAAAGGTGCAGGGATTAAGAGGCATAAATGATACGATACGTACAAAATAGACAGGTGGATGTTAAGAATAGTATAGGAAATGGAGAAGCCAAAGAAGTTATGAGCTTGAACCATGGACATGAATTAATGTGGGGAGGGGATATCCCTGGAGGAAATACTGGCTGGAGAGGGCCAAAGCGGAAAAAAAATTGGGACAACTATCATAGCATAATCAACAAATATAGTTTTTAAAAAAGAAAAGAAACTGGAAATTACACAAGTATTTCCCAGAACAATGAAGGCAGGCAATAAAGCAGGGGTGTCAAACTCATTTTCACCGGGGGCCACATCAGACCTTGCAGTTGCCTTTGAAGAGCCAAATGTAAGTTTAGCACTGTATAAATGTAACTACTCCTTAACAGTTAAGGAGTTGAAATTATATTCGGCCCTTTGAAGGCAACCTCAAGGCTGGTGTGGCCCCCAGTGAAAATGAGTTTGACACCCCTGCAATAAAGGCTCAGACAACTACTTTTTTTTTTCACCTTTACTCCATTAGAAACCACAGTGTCATCAGAGTTCAATGGTTTCACATGACTCTCTTCAGAAGTTCTCAGAAAATTGCACTGGCACACCATCAGCAGCAATTACATAAACAAACTCTCTAAAACAAAGTGATAATTACAGCCAAGCTTGTTATCAAGCCCATATTCAAAAGAGTCCTTTTGGCATCAAACAAGCAAAATAAAAGTTTGCTAAGACTTCAGAGCAACTTTGGTTTTTAAAACATAATGTTCAAAGGAGACAGGAAGAGTTGGAATTCCATTTCCTCCCATTCAGTCCATGCTCCCAAATGAACCCACTTACCCACTACGACTAAGAGAGTCCATATCAGGTAGATGCCACTGTTGAAACATGTTGCATACTGACGAAACAGGCACATGCAGATGGGTGGTAAGACGAAAAACAAGACATTGCTGATCTGGAGGGGAAATGTAAAATGAAAAGATAAGTTAATTCACCCTATACAAACCTACTTTTAGGTAAAGATCAAATTCTTAGGTTCTTTCCCAGCTTTAAAATGATACCATTTTATCTTTCAGACTTCAGTGTGGATTTAAGCCTCTCTGTTATCTCTCCAGAAGGCACGTGGCTTTTAAAATATATATATTCTAGCCCTGGCCGTTGTGGTTCAGCAGACTGAGCACCAGCCTGCAAACTGAAAGTTTCCCAGTTCGATTCCCAGTCACGGCACATGCCTGGGTTGCAGGGCCAGGTCCGAGTTTGGGGGCATGTGAGAAGCAACCAATTGATGTTTCTCTCACACACTGATGTTTCCCTCTCTCTCTCTCCCTTCCTCTCACTCTAAAAGAAAATAAATAAAATAGTTTTTAAAAGAAGTTAAAATACATATATTCTTTCTAATGTAATATCAAAATACTGTCATTTTAACATGTAAGCACTATTTAGACATCATTAATGAGATATTTTCCATTCCTTTTGTTCATACCCTGGCTTGGAAACCCAGTGGGAATTCCCCCTGGCAGCACATCTCCACTGGGACCAGCCGTAATTCACATGCTCAATAGCCACACGTGGCTGGGGACTACCACACTGAACAGGGTAACTCTAGATCCCCACCTCTCACTTTTAAAATTTATTTCTTTAATATTTCTTTAGGGGGTCATAGCCAGTTCTTTCTTATTCCCCCAAAATGTTATTATTGAGGTAAAATTCACATAACATAAAATTAGCCATTTTAAACTGTATAATTCAGTGGCATTTTAATACATTCATAATGTGCAACCATCACCTCTATCTAGGTCTAAAACATTTTCATCACCTCCAAAAGAAAACCCTGTACCCATTAAGCAGTCACTTCCCATGTCCCCCTCCCCACAGCCTCAAACAAGCACTAATCTGCTTTCTGTCTTTATGAATATACCTATTCTTGATATTTCACAGAAGTAGAATCATAAAATATGACCTAATAAGTCTGGCTTCTTTTACTTGGCATAATGTTTTTGAGGTTCAACCACATTATTGCAGGCATCAATACTTCCTTTTTACAGATGAATAACATTCTGTGGTATGGATGCCATATTTTATCTACCCATTCATGCACTGACAGACGGCTGTGAATAGTGCTGCTATGAACATTCATGTACAAGTTTCTGAGTACTTGTTTTCAATTTGGGGGTATGTGATTGACATTGCTGGGTCATATTCAGGCAGGTTAGTGAGAAGCCAGGAAAACTCCTTGACAAATGGAATGAGGAAACTGAGACAAATAGTTGAACAAATGGATGGGCAACTAGTTGCCAGCTAATGAATCACAAGACCCTATTTTCTCGGACCAAAGACACCTAGCAGCAGATGGTTTAAGTGTATCCTCCCCAACCAAAGGGCAGGTGCCTTAAATCACCCTAGTCAGGGACAGATTTAAGAGTGACCCAGTTAGTGTCAGCCTAACCTGAGAACAAATGAAGTCAGGGGAATAGATTATAGCAACAATAAAAACAATTAGCCACAAAAAGCCAAGACAGAGGTGAAACTGACCAGAAAATAATCCCAGACCCCACTATACACTCATTTTGATGCATCAGCATATCAAGGGACACACCTGGAAAGTTGATGAATATTCTGTTAAGACCTCCCTTAAAAGTCCCACCTTTAGAAAACAGATAAAAACTCTAAGGCAAAGGGTCTACACCCCTCTGTCCTCAGGTGTGTACTTTCACTTGCTTTCTCCAGATCTCTACGGGGTTCCAACGAGATGTGCAACCAGGGGAGCAGTGGGCAGCGGCAGCTTGTCCCAGGCTAACCCCTGACCCTGTCTCCAAGGACACTGCTTTTGCCTCTGTGACTTTTTCCTGAGCCAGTGCAGCCTCTCCTCAGCTCAGTCCTGTTCCTGGGATTTTGCTTCCTCTACCCTAAGACCTTCCTTTTTCTCACCATGCCAAGCTTTGATAAAATTACTCTCATAATCACCGAGACTCATGTCTCAAAATCTTTCCTGCACAAAGTCAAGAACCTGTACATCCCAAATTGTGCCAGGGCAAACCCATCTTGGCCCAGCCCCTTCCCAGTGAAATACGGTAATTCTATGTTTAACTTAGTGACAAACCACCAAACCGTTTTCAGCAGCAGCTAAACCATTTACATTCATACAAGCAATGTATAAAGGTTCTAATTTTCCCACATCCTTGCCAACACTTATTTTCTGGAGTTTGCTTTGTCTAATGAAAGCCGTCCTAGAAGGTATGGAGTGGTAGGGATATTCAGCTTTGTAAGTTTCATCTGTACGTGCGGAGTGAGGCACTCCTCATGAAGGACTACGTGCACAAAGTGTGCAGAAAGTGAAGACAACGGCTAAGACTAAATGAGCAACACACCAATGGGAATGGGGTGGGAGGGGTACACACACTAACAAAAGACTAAAGAAAAGCACTTTCAGAGATAGGATGGGGCATTGAAGCCTGGAAAGCCAAGGGCATGAAAAGAAAAACTGGCCACGCATGTTGGATGATAGAGAGCAGGCCTCAAAGGAACCATAAGGGTGAGTGCCTGCACTGAACTGAAGGAGCCAGGCAGGGGAGAAGGGCTTCCCCAGACCTACAAAATCACACAGGTACACAACTAAACAAAATGCATCAGCAAACTTCAGAACTGGAGGCATAGTACAGGTAAGGACTGGCAACAGCAGTGGCCAACATAGGCCTTTGTCATGGTTTGGGAACAAGAGACATTAGGAGTGACATCATTTTTATTTATTTCCTGCTCAGGTGTAAATCTTTTTATTTTTAAAATTTTTATTTTTCAATTACAGATTACATTCAATATCATTTTGTATTAGTTTCAGGAGTCTAGTACAGCAGTTAGACAAGCCTGCAGACAAAGTGTTCCCCCGATGTTTCTACTACCCACTCTGCATCTTCAACAGCGTTATTATGGAATGACATCGCTTTTGGCAAGGGTAGAAAGATAAGGGGGAGAGAAATAATACAAATAAAGAGGGAGAACTTTTGTTAGTGGCAGGATGGGAGTAGGACTGCTGCCTTTGGTTAAAATCCCAGGCTGAAATTCCTAGTGGGGCTATATCATCCTAGAGAAGAGGTACCTTTTTCTAGGTGGTCTACTCTGATGGGATCTTTTTCTCTTCCCCACGTTGGAGCCCTGTGAGCTACTGGTGACCCTACGGGAGAGGATGGATGAATTGTGTCAGATGTCCCAGGTGTACATAGTTTCCAGTCCTGGAAATACAGCCAATGCTCATTTAAAAAGCAGATGAGCAGTAGGCTATTGTTCATTGTTATTATCACAGTCTTTAACTTTTTATGAACTAATTTAAATAATCAGAGATCTTCAAGAAATACAATGAGAGATCTTAACCATCCTTGTTTTTCAAGGGATATAATTAAGGGCTCAGAAAGGCTCCAAGGCTGGCCAAGGTCAGAGAGGCAGTCACCCTGGGAGCTGGGGCCAGCACCCAGTCCTGCTTTGGGCTCTTTCCACTGCGCCCCACTGACTGCACCTCCAACTCACCCACCAGCCACATTCTGACCTCCTTGGTATAACTCCTCAACTGGTATCACAGACTTCTGAACTGCATCACACACTGTGCACATATGACTTGTTCCAAGACTTAAAAGTGGCTCTCCTTTTGTTAAACATAGAAGTGGAAGAAAGAAAAGGAAAAGGGAGAGAAGGAAAAGAAAAAATGGAATTGTTATAGCATAGATAACTTAAAACCTGATCTTTCTCCTTTCATATTTATAAATATGTTCTCCTTGTTAGAAAAAGAAAAAAAAGAATACATTACAGAGCTAAAATCTCCCTTCTTCCACAGCCCTAGAGATAACCATTGTTCTCAGATTCATAGGCTTCCAGTCATTTTCTTTGCATTTATATGAATACATATATGCCACATACTGTAACATTATCATCCTGCAACTTTTTCTCCTTCAACAGTATCTCTTACAAACATTTTCACCTTAGTTCACTCAGATTAACCTCACTTGGTGTAAGTGGTGCAGATGGCAAGGGTTTTTTTAGCCATTCTCCAAGGAAGGAAAGCAATTTACAGCCCCACCTACAATGCTGGGAAATATAACTCATTTGTTTTTTACCCCAGTATATCTTTATTGCCTCAAGTCCCCTCAATCTCCCTTGCTTCAGCCAAGTGCAGCTAACTTCGCCAAGTTGTCCCCAAATGGCTCTGTCAATTTATATTACCATTAGCAAAGTACACATGAATCATTTTTAAATGTATTTACACAGTGTTCACAAAAGCATGAAGTCATTTATTATAGCTGCAGTAAAATTAGGATACTTCAAAACACTTTTTTTAATGCACATATTAGGGAGTTCAATTGAGAAGCACCATTTTAACAGATGCTTCCAAATAACTTGAAATTGCATTATTACTTCTGCACAGCCCACCTATCAATATCTGCTGGTCTTCACCAGGCCTTTTAAATAAGTCAATCTCTGCAAAGGAAAAGACCAAATTAGAGGGAGACATTCCCCAAGACAAAAAGAGGAAGGAACTCCTAAAGAAATACAGAGAAGCAAATGAGTTGTAATTAAAAGATGGGTTCAATGGTTCCATATCTACTGAGAAATGAAACTTCCCCTCAAAATGGTGTGGGTCACTAAAGTTGAGAAGTTCAGCCAAAGGGTATTGTTGAAAGTCTCTTGTCTGATTACACTTTGGAGAATTGTATTATTTAATGCCTGCAGAACAGATTGTTTTCACTGAAAGGAAACCACAATTCTAAAATGTATTATTTCCTTAGAAAGCTCTTTATTCTGTGAATTCCCACATAACATTTGCACCAAGATAATCTCATAAACACACTGCAATCTCTTCCTGATGCATGTGAATGTGCAGTTTCCCAGAAGAGGGTAAATACTGACAAAGCAATAGGCTGTAAGTTCTTCTGAACAACAAGTTCATGAACAGATAAGGGTCATTATAATAGCTGAGAAAACTGTCTGTGTATCCTAATTGTATGCACATTCCTAACTATCCATCCCATTGCTTCCCTACTGCCACTGAGATGACCAACTATCCTGGTTTGCCAAGACATGGAACTTTCAGTTTTAAAATCAGGGAAGTCCAATTTTGTCCTTGACAAACCAGGACAAGTTGGTCACTCTACATGAAAGTACTCTTCAAAATCCCCCCACCCTACCTCCCACAGCGCACCAATCCCATGCAGGGTTCTAGTAACACCGGGGTGACTTGTACATACCTCTGTTATGGCCCTCACCACCCAGATGACTCTGGATCTCACTTCTGGATAGGCACGCTGTAATTGCCCAGTATATGGATGAATGGATGGAGGGATCGAGGGATAGATGGATGGATGGATGGATAATTATGCCCTATAGATAATGGGATGTGGGCTTGGACATACAAAGAGAACTCTACTTTCCTAATCTTGATGGTGGAGGGCAGAGCTTATTGGGGGAGGTGACAGATCATGGGCTGATTTTATGCATATGTTTTGCTTCAAGACTTCTTTTTTCAGCACCAGTTGATTCCCTGAGTCACTGCTCAGCAACAGAGTCCCCAAAGGCTAACCCCAGTGGTTAAAAGGAAGACCACACTTTTCTCCAAAGCAGCTAGGTCTGGAGTCTTTCTTTTTAGTGTGACTGGGGCCTTAAAACTTAAAACAAAAAGAAAACTCAATGCAATAACACTTGTATATAGAAGAAATAGTTCTAAATGTGCTCAAGCAAAGGACTATGTTCTTGGAAGAGATATTTGGGATTGGCCAAAGCAAAGGATGATAAGATTTTGGGCAACAGAGATTTGCAGGGCCCCAAAATAAAATGCTTCACACACCCAAACACTGTCAGTGGGAGCATAAATCAGGGTACTCTGTCTGGTGGGCCATTTAGCAATAACTATCAGCCTTTAACATGAATACACAGCAATTCCCCTGAAAGGATTAGCGCTTGTAAAACACATCCAGATGTATATAAGAGCATATTCATGGCATCACTGTTCAGAAACAAAAATGAAAACAATAAAACAAACAGAAACTGCCCTAAATGTCTATCAATGAGGAACTGACTGGTTAAGTAAATTATGGCCAATCCATTAAGTGGAACATTGTATAGACATTGCAAAGAGGAAGATAATTCTGTATGAGCTAATATGGGACTATCTACAAGACATATTAAGTGAAAAAAACAAGGTGCCAAAGGGTTTGTGTAGTTATATCCCAACTGGGTTAAAAAAAAACTACTTAGACTGTGGTGGGTATACACTATACATGCATATTTAATATGCTCACACAAATAATACAAGTGCTTTTTACATGCCTAGAAAATGTCTGAAAAGATACAGAGGGTATTTTGTTCTTTAGAACATGCATACTGAATTTCTTACCATGATCATGTTCTTACTTTTATAATAAACACCCACAAAAACAACAGACTACTGTAAACAAACTTCTTTTCATATCAAACATCATGATTAGCCTAAAGAGCAAATGTTCCCAATGCAAGAGTTTAAGTTAAAGAACAACTGAATAATAAACACGTGTATTAGGCCATGCCACATAAATCTAAGGTGCTACAATGGCACTCGTACCTTCATGAGTAATACCTTAGTAGAATCAGATGGACCAAGTTCTAACTCTAGTTCTGACATTTCTTGACATCAGTAAGTTACATACTCTATCTATGTCCCCATTTCCTCCTTTATCAAGCAGACAGAGTAAATGGCACCCACTGCCTGGAATGACCCAGCAGAGCTTCAATACATAGCAAACGATTAATGGTAACCAGCAGTAACTGAAGTTGTAGGAGTGATGTGATACCCCAAGGATATTTAAGGACATTAAGAAGGTTCTGGATCCCTCTCCCAGGCTTCTGATTTTACATCTTCAATTCCTTAAACTTCTTCTCCAAATTAGCAATAATTATTATTTCTTATATAATGGATAGTTTGACCTGCTGCTTTACTATGATGACTTAATGATATGTTAATCATCAAGTAATAGTCCACTGTCTTCCTCAGTACAGGAGCAAGAGGTTTGCCCTGTGACATATACACATCCACAGATAACTAGGGCATGGAAACAGAGAAGAGGCTATGGGTTTTGCTAACCTCTTTGGACCTACACTCAACTAAGTTTGCTGGCCAATGAGTTCTCTAGACCTTCCAAGAGAGTCCAACCTTTTGGTGTCCCTGGGCCACACTGAAAGAATAAGAGTTGTCTTGGACCACACATTAAATACACAAACACTAATGAAAACTGATGAGTGAAAAAAGATTTTAAGTAAATTTAGGATTTTGTGTTGGGCTGCGTTCATAGCCATCCTGGGCTGCGTGAGGCCTGCAGGCCACAGGTTGGACACTGCTCTCTGCTTTGCTTCAGCAATCTTTGTGGTTTATAAGCAATCCAAAGAATAAGGTTTATCAGGCAGATGAGGTGGGCTAATCAGCCACAGACACTGCAGCTAAAGATCAACAGTTTATTTCTAAAAAAGATTTTGGCACTCACTATATAACTGCTCCAATGGAACAAGGTTAAAAGTAAAGACAAAATAGATGCTCTCCCTCATTCGGCACTCTGGGACTTTTCAAGGCAGGCTCAGAGTAGCTATACACTTTTTGGCCAAATGACCAGACCTGACTTTCTGCTGGCCTCAGATTCCACAGATACTTTGCAGATAGTATGAAAACCTGTCCCCAGGTTCTTATTTCTTCTTTAATTCTGTTGAAATCCACTTTCAAATGGAGAGCCTGAGTTACCACTGTTGAAAAGCACCCAGCCCTGCTCTAGCCTGTCCTCTGTGAGCACCCATCTACAACTGATACTATGCACTGAAAAAGGGTGTATAATAGGTGAGGTGTGGCCACCTCCACTAACTGTATCTCCAAGGAGCAGAAGACCAAGTTGTCTTGAGGAACTACCCGGATCATATAAAAGTAGGCGTTCTGTATAAAGGGCAGCCATGGATTTTAGCAATTAGAGGAGGAAGAATGAAGACTTCTGAACTGTACCGCCCCTCCCCCACTTCTTCTCCCCCACCTGCCATGCCAGAAATGTGAGCTTGACAGCTCCCTTCTCAAGAGCTCAGTTTCTTCATCAATGACTAGAAGTCCCAGGACTAGCTCAGCAGAGATCCCTCCAGGCAATAAGCACCTAACTGTTGCCAACATTCTCTCCAGCAAATCAAAGGTGAAAATCCTAAAGAACTACCTGAAATTCACAATGAACCTTAAACCAGGAGTTCTTGTTTCCCCTGTTAGAGCAGTGAAAAGATAAGCTACACAAATGACCATGGAAAGTCTTACATTTGGTACCAGAACCCTGAGCCAGGGGCACAGAGAAAAGGTATTTCCTTCCCAGCTGCAAGCACACAGGATTCTGCAGGGGGGGGGGAAGCTGCCATATCGAGAGACCTAGGCAACTCCAGAAAACACGCACACAATCACTACCAAATGTCCCTTCCACTCCCCAGCCTTAATAAGTGGAGAGTGAACAAGCCTGGGGGAGTTGAATTTGGAGCTGGCATTAGACGGAATACTAAGTAAGGCATAGAAATAGGAACTAGTAGTAATTAAGGTAACTTGAGTCTGGCCAAAAGTAACTCGACCTATTATTGGTGTATTCGTGAGATGCGGCAAGTCAGCAAGGCTGGAATGGGCCCTGCTCCTGAGACATGCCGGAGTGTTACCCTCTTTCCTGGGACTCCTAGAGCAGGTATTCAGAACAAAAACACACAATGCGACCCAAGTGCGTCATGCCACAGAGATCCTAGGGCGGGAGGTTGTCCGGCAGGTTCACCGCCCGCAAATGACCTAAACTGGGAGATGAGCTGACACAGATCACTAGCTCCAGGACGGGTGGAGACCAAACAACACAGCAGGGTCATCAGAAATGACAAGAGAAGGAAGCTGAGCCCAGCTGACGCCGGTAGGGACAAGAGAGAAGGACAGATGAGAACTGGAAGGAGCGCGTAGGGGAGGGGGTGTGGGTCGACTCTGGTCCTGGGGAAAGAATGCCCCAGATACACGAAGATAGCCACGAGCAGGTTTCAGGCACCACGGAGCCTGGGGACAGCACCCTCCCGCCAGCCTGCCTGCCTGCCACCCCGACTCCCGAGTCCCGAACCGTGTTGTAGAACTCAGCAATCGCAGGCACGATGGTGTAGTTGTCCTCGCACCAGTCCACCTCCGAGCTGCCAGCCCGCAGCTGGTCCCACCAGTGTGGGGCGCTCATGGCCACCCTGGGGCATTGGAGCAGCTGCTCTCGCTGCGAAGAAGAGGCCAGAGCTGCTGCTCTACGCCCACAACGACAGCGATAGCGACAGCGGTGGCTTTATGCACGGTGGGACAGCGGCCGGATGTGGCGCCTCTTCAGCCAGCCTCCCGGTGCGGAGCTCCGCCTGTAGGACTTGGCTGGCTCTCAGGCTCCGCCCCCGGCTCCGCCCCCTATGGAAGCTAGTGGGCAGCGACGTGGCCACGCCCACCCCAGGGCTGGACGTGCTCCGGGGCTGGGTGTGGGGAGGTGGAACGCCTAGGGAAGTTTCCAGGCATCCTTATTCCCTGCAGGTGTGCAGGCCCCCACCATCATGCCCACGCCCACCTCTTAGCTCAGACTCACAGGCGCTGCCTTCTATCCCATTCCCACCCCTAATTGTGCAAAGAGGGCCAGAGCCAGCCCTGGCCAAAATTAAACAGAAAAACTCAGGAATGGAGTACCCAGACCCCCTATGGAACCTAGAGAAATTTTCATAGATTCCCCTGCTCAGCGTGTAGGCACCCGTGCTCACACCTGAGAAGGGCTCTGGGTCCCTCTGAAGTAGGTAAGGGCTGGCTTGGTAGCGTGGGCTAGGGCAGGAAGACCAAGGAATGGAGTGTCAGGCTCCACGAGACCCTCCTACACAGCCTCTGCAGCCCATTCCTGGACAAGGACTATGCAATTTCCAGTATGTTCCTGCCCTGTGTTCCATAGACTCGCAGTTAGACTTTAATCTAGTCTTCAATTAGACATGGGGCCAAAAGTCAGCCATCCCAACCCTTCTCAAAAGATGTAGTGTGGCAAGTATGACATCTCCAGAACATCCAAGGTACAAGAGATGATGACACATACAACACATACATAGCACTTACTATGTGCCAGGCGCTGTTTGAAGAGCTTCCATGTATCACTTATTTGGTGCTCAGACTGGGGATCCTATGAAGTGGGTTCTGTGAGCAATGTCACTCCAGAAAGTAAGTGGCAGAGCTAGAAATCAAAGTCAGGATGATCTTAGATCTGTGAAGAAGTACTTTGCTTTGCAGCTGTAACTATTCTGAAGTTTATGCATCAAAATTAATCTGGTCTCAGCAATTCCTGTAGAAAGCCCCCCCCCCTCTCTCTTCCCTCCCCCATTTTGCCCTCCCTCCTTCTGTCCTTCCCTCCCCTTTTTGGTTTTGGCTTTGGTTCTCCCTTGGGCAGTTTTAGAATTTCAGATCAGGACAGTGGCAGTGGCAGAAAAGGCCCTGCTCATTGGACCATGGTGGCTGTCACCAGGATATACTTGCTCAAGTTTTCATGGTTTCCTGAAGATCAGCATCTCCCCGGGGCCTGCCCTGTCTCTGGCTTGACTGTGGGAATGGGGCTGGTGTTCCAATCCCCTGCGTACTCATTGTCTGTCTTCTACAGCAATTTGCATGTCTCCCCAAATCTATATCACCGGCAGGAACAGCAAGCCCCAACTCCCCTCCTAGTCTCCAGGAAACCCAGCTTTCTGCCCTGGGTGCTAACCACACTCCCTTCTTTGTCCCAATTTCTACCCAGTCCTCCTCCTAGACAACCAGTTCCACTATGTACACTGGTAACTTCTAAGATCAGAATTCCCCAGACCTTCAGGATACTAGTGTCTCAGAGTACTACTCCTGCTGTCCAACAGTAGTTTTCCATGTAGTCAAGATTTCACCCCTTCCAATATTTTAGGTGAAAATATACCCATTTCATTAACTCTAATGGTGTAAAACATACCATTATTTTATATGCCAGTGGCTCCCAAGGTGAGGTTCCCCTTTCAGGGGATCCACAGGTCAAAACCCTTTTCCTGTTTTACACCAACATTATCTGTCCTTTTTGCTCTCATCTTCGCACAAGCATACATTGATTGGTTTTCCAGGGCTGTGTGTGTCGTTCTCTCTGACAGCAAGTGGAATGTGTGCTTGTGTATATTCAGTATCCAAAGTCTCCGTTTAAATTTCTAATATCATAAATATTGATAGTACCCCATGAACAAATGGGGTACCATCCTTACCCTTGAGGACCATCCTTATGGTCCTCAATAATTTTTAAGAGTATGAAAGGAGTCCTCAGATCAAAAGGTTGAGAGCTGCTGTTAAAGATACTCCCAGCTAAACTATTTGTAATCCTTTTTTTTATCATTTAGAACTTTTAAAATATTTATTGAACGTGAGCTTCTAGACTTAGACATTTATTGTTACCATACATCATTCTTGTGCAAACACAAAAAAGGAAAATATAAGCAATATAAGTTCATTAAGGAATTGCTATCATTTCTTCAGACTCAGAATCTCTATTCTTTGGACTCATTTTTGACTAGGTCATTGGTGTCCTTACTTACCAGGTGCTAGTGGTGCAGCCTTTTGAGTAATCCACTGTTTGCTTTCAAGCCACTGACACCTACTGTACACGTTTGGATGCTGGTATTGGTCTTGATTTTACATGCAGGTGTCAGTGGAAGATTTTCAAACAACAGGTAGCATGTTTCTTTTTCAGATGATTCTTATAAGATTTGTTGACAGAAACATGGATATTACAGTTGCCGAGTCATCCCACCAGGAATTACCACTGAATTTGTGCATGTTCAGGCAGTGACAACGCATCTCAACCTCCATCTGGCCAACCAGGATTACAAAATGCCTTCCATTGTAAGATGGATATGGACTGCAGTGATGTTACAATGCAAAACAAAATTTTACACCAATGCAAAATGAAATTTTACACCAATGGAATTCACTGGAGAGAATTCATCCTTTTCTCGCAATCTCACTGAAAGAATGATAGGGGTTTTTTCTCCTACACAGGAACTCTTCTTGTCAATGACAATTCTGTTTCAAAATCAAAACTAATCACTTGGATGCTGTCTAATTACAACTGCACAGGGAGTGCTAAAGCCAAAGGCCACTGGTGAGTAAAGAACACACGTTTCATTCCTCCAAAGATGCCTGTGTTTGTCTTGCAACTGTGTTGAAATTTTTCTGCTATTTTTGACTCACTCCATTAACATTTTTTCAATGAATATAACCTTAGTAATTTAACATTAGGACCTATCATTAGGTAATTACTTTTTAAATTGATTTATAGTAATAGTATGATGCCTTAGCAACTACTGTTAATGTTTTAATACAAAATATGGTATCTCATGCAAACAGAGAGTTTGAGGACAGTGGCGGTGGGGGTGGACAAGAAAAAACAGGGCACTGTGGTGTTTTTTATCTAAACATGAGTCAGTGATATAGATCCATGACAGAGCGGATTTTGGAAAACCACCCTTGCAAGGAAGTCAGGATGCCAGCATCTTTTATTTTTACAGAGTTTAAAACTGTTTATTTAGTCTAAGTAAATATCTTATGATAAATATCCAGTTCAGCTAGTTCCACAAGTTGAAATCATCAAGTCACAAAGTCTTCCTTAGGGAAAAAAATTACAGGCACCCATGTAAATGAAGCAAGATGGAGCAGCATGGGTATCACCTAGGAACTTGTTGGAAAGGCAAACTGAGTTCCATATGCCAGACCTATTAAATCAGGAGCTCTGGGAGTGGAATTCAACAGTCTCTGGCTGAAAAAGTCCTCAAGGTGATTCTGACCCACACTCACATTTGTTTTAGCCAATGCATAGTGGGGCAGAAATTCACTGTGGACTGTACACTTTGCTTTCCTGAAAAACCAAGTCCAATCCAAGACTGCTGCTGACTTCAAGGAAAGGAGGAAGAAAAGGGAAGCCCTGCAAAGGAAGTCATCCTTTCATGAGGCTTATCACCAGGAAACCAGGGGCTCAGGGTCTGGCTCCCCTCTTCACTAAGAAGGAAACAAAACAAGTAAGGTGTTTTGTTTTGTTTTGTTTTTGGTTTTGTTTTATAACCTAAGACAAAGTCTTCAAGGGGGTGGGGGAGGGGTGGGGAGAATATGCAGAAAACTGTAATTGAACAACAATAAAATAATTTAAATTAAAAAAAAAGTCTTCAGGAGACTTAGAATTGTGGGAGAGAACTGTAGAAAGCAGGGCCTCCCCAGGGAAACAGAACAGCAGCCACTCCAAAAAGGTGGCCACGTTTGCTGCTCTCAAGTTGTTTACTGACAGGCTACTTCCTGCTATTGTCACTTGGCCTCTCTTTAGAAGTGCCTCTCTCCTTTCTTTAACCTGCACTGGAAAACGACAAAGTTAGGACTGAGTGTATAATAAAAGTATGTTGGTTGTGATTGGAAGTCTGAGGCTTTGCCTGTGCCTGAAGTGCACGGAACTTGTTAACATGTGTTTTGACTCCTGCTTCTGGACAGAGAAGGTATTTCTTTGATAGAGAACTGTAGCTGGCAAAGATGTAAGAAATTTTGAGCACCTGCTTTGTGCAAGGCTCTACATTAAGTGCTGGATAATATAAAGAAAAATAAAGTATTGTTGTTGGCCTCATTGAGCTAAGTTTAGTAGAAGCACACAAACCATTAGAATACCACATGGTAATTGTTAAAATGAAGGTACATATGTAGAATGTGGAAGCAGAGGCATGGGGGCCCAGGTCTGCACCGAGCGCCAAAGGAGGCTCAACAGAGGAGGTAGCCCCAGCAGCACTAAGATGTATAAAACGAATAGGATTTTACCAGGCAGAGCACCAAGGAGAGGGAATAATCCAGAAAGAACAACGTGAGCAAAATGGCAGATCCTTGGGCTTGTCTACAGAGGCACCAGTCCTGATAGACCTGAGCCGTCAGAGGAGAGAAGGAAATAGAAAAGTCTTAAATAAGAGCTGTGACACCACCTACAAAGAGGTCTTACTGAAAAACACAGCACCTAAACTAGATCAAAACTTTAGCTCTCTTTACCAATTCACAGAAGCTGAATCTCCTGAGGAGCTTGTTAAAAATGCAGATTCTGATTCAGTAGACCTTGAATGGAGTCCAAGACTCTGCATTTCTAGCAGACTGCCCCCAGGTGATACAGATGCTGCTGGTCCTTGGGCCATATTTCTGTTCCCCACATAGGGAGCAGAAGAAATAGTGAGACACATGAGCAATCAATAAAGCCAGAATAAGGGAAACTTTGACAACTTTTCTTAAAGGATGGGGAAGAAACATATAGATTTCCTATAGAGACATAACAACCAATTGC